CACCTGTGTGCCCTTGGCATCACCTGTGTCCCCCTGGCATCACCTGTGTCCTCATGGCATCACCTGTGTCCCCTTGGCATCACCTCTGTTCCTGTGGCATCACCTCTGTCCCCATGGCATCCCCTGTGTCCCCATGGCATCCCCTCTGTCCCTGTGGCATCACCTCTGTCCCCATGGCATCCCCTCTGTCCCTGTGCCATCCCCTGTGTCCCCACGGACAGAGTGCAGGGAAGGGCTCTGCAGTCCCACACCAGCTCTTCCAGGATATTTGCCCCTCCTGGAGTTCACTGAGACTCTCACAGGCTGCCCCAGGTGTGACTTGTCCCCCCTTCCTCCTGTCCCCTGCACGGGTGGGACCCCCCGGAGCAGGGTTGGCTCTGCCCTGGCACCAACCCCTGTCCCTGTCCCTGCCCCGTGTCCCCCAGGGCTGTGGGACAGGGCAGGGTCCGGATCTCTGCCTCCTGTTCCCCCCAGCACCGGGATAACGGTGGGATCAGATCCCGGCAGGCACCACCCGGACACGTTTCCCTCTCGCCTTCCAGGCTGAGCCATCCCTGCCCAGCCCTTGCGAGGGCACAGGAAAACGGTGTCTGAGCCCGGGGAGGGGTGGCACGAGTGGCACCTGGATGCCAAAATTGGCAGAAATGAGGCTGCTCAGAGACAGTTTTGAGTTTTTAAGCAGCAAAGGGATTTATTTTGAGCAACGCTGGGGAACCAACCAGCTGCACAAAACAGCTCCGAAGTTCTCAGTGAAAAGTCGGGTAATTTATACAGTTTTTATGAGTGATTACAACATCTACACGTGCATATTCATTTAATTGCACGATCTAATTATCATATTCATAACAGGCGGGGTCTGGGCGGAGCTTGAGACGGAGCTGTCCTTTTAGGGAGTCCTCTGGAGGTCCTTCAGCCTCAAGAGGGTCCTCTTTGTCATGAACTTTTCCTGGCTACGTGCTGGGAGGCTGCGAAAAAAACCCTGGTTCAGCTCACTTATCTCCCCGGATGTCCATTCTACCTAATTCATGACCACTAAATTGTCCTTTCTGTTCTCTTTTCATTGGTGCAGAACATACGTGGGCAGAGCTCTGGAACAGGGCACCACTTGTCCCTTAACAACAATGTTTTATTCCTCAGAGAGAGGATCTGCAACATCCCCTCAGAACGGAATTCCAGCATCTCGGAACTCTTGCTCGGTTTCAACCTCCCCTGCGATCCTGCGGTGTCCGGGCTCGGGAATTCGGGACTGGCGCTGGGAAGGGGTGGGGATGAGCCTCTGCAACAGGCTCGAGGTGAGCTCGCAGCTCGTCTTAGCAGAGTCGGCTGCTCCTCGCCAGCCGCGCTCCCTCCAGAGGCGACGGGAATCCCGAGCGATTCCTCAGGGATGCGCTGAGGACACGGAGCCGCTGCCGGGAGCGACGGGGTGGGAACGAATCGAGCAGAGCCGGCACGGGAGGAAAAATATTCCAGGCGTTTCTTCCCTCTGACCCGTTTCTGGAGTGTCCTGGTGCTGTCAGGGGAGGAAGGAGGGGAGTCAGAGGGTCCTGCCCGGAGGGGAGACACGTCTGGGCAGCTCAGCCGAGCCCTGGAGGAGGGAATGCCGTGGGCAGGGGGGGTTCGTCGGCAAAAACCGGCCGGGAAGAGCTTTAAGGTGCGGCGGGGAAGGTGAAGATCCAACAAGGGAACTCCGGGATCTGGGAGGAGAGCCCTGAATGGAGCAGCGGGAATATAGAGCAGTGCAGGGTCAGGATAAAACGATCCAAGAGAATCCCACCAGCAGTAGCGCCCAGCTGGGGCGGGTTCGGGAGCAGCTCTGTCACTCCCTGCTTTCCGAAACCAATTTCTGATATCCCTGTGCTGCATTTCCCTGGGAATGACGACGGGATCCAGGAACAAAAGTGTCCGGAGCTCCCCAGCTGCCACCTGCCGGCAAACCCGGCGGGGGAGACCCGGGAGGAGACCCGGGCAGGGGGGGAAAGGCCATTCCTGGGTGGGGGGAGGAAAGCTGGTGGAGCGGCTTTTTTAGGGCGTTCAGAGGAGCTGAGTTCGCGTTTGCAAAGAGCAGCCGAAGGTGGAGCGGCGCAGGGGGCACCGGGGGGATTTGGGGCAGCATTAAGTGTGTCCAGCCCCCAGAATGCCCCCAGAAAGGGGGAGGGCACCCGAGAGGGGACACCCGAGAGCAGCTGCAGCAGAGCTGGACACGAGCAACTGCTGTCCCGGCAGAGAGAAACCCAATCCCGGCCCCAGAACTTGCCC